CATAAATTCAAAGATTCATTCAATCATAAACACAAAGTAAAAGGTTTTTACACCTAAATCAGAAAGTAAACACATAATAGAATCACAATGGAATGTTAAACATGGTCACGATAACAAACCATATGATTACCGACATGAATCCGCTCTCCAGTCCCTTAGATCTTTGCTCCATATCAGCTTAACGGCCCTCCGGCCGCCTTCTAGACCCTCAAAACGGCAGCTATGAAGTTTTCTTGTCGCACAAGTCGAAGTGGAATATCATAGATGATGAATAATGGTGGAATGATATGGGGTATTTATAGTTGAATGGAGATGGAATTAATATGGAATATTAGGGTTGGATTGGAATAAGGAAACTAATGGTGGCTTAGGGATTAAGCAAATAAAAATAAGGTAAGTGGTGCTTGGGGAATAAATAACTTGGAGGGAATTTCCGTCCAGCTTTTATGCTTCATCTTCAAGGCCGATTTTGGATATGATAAACGCCGAATTACAAAAAAGACCCTCTCACACAAGTCTTAGGAAATTTCGTCTACTTTCCAGAACATTTTGAATCACTTCAATTGGACTTATGAGTCATCAGATATACCCAACACACTGAAGAGTGGTCAATCTGCCAACAATATCTTTTTTGCGTCTTTTCAACTCCATTCTTCTCCTTTTGCATTCCAGCTCCCATTTTAACTGTAATTGAATATTTCAAGGCATATTAAGTATCTTTTAGTTCTAAATAACATAAAAACATAGTATAAAATAATAAGAAAACATCATAAATATATGCATAAAATAGACGTTCTCAAATACACGGTATGAGCTCTATTGACCGTAACTTTAGTGTTTTTTCTGTTAAATTTTGTATATTTTGACTAAATAAGTATGAGTTCTAGTGAATATTTCATTGTGACTTGCACCGGGTGAGAAGTAGGAAATTGTTGATCATCAACAAAGAATACATGTTAGGAATTTCATTAATAATTATCAAAATTGAATTTCGACGAATATAATGAATACATAATTTTTATTTTTGGTTAAACATAAAACTGGTTTGTTAGATAAATCGGATATTAATTAATCTTTCGAACATCCAGAAATGCAGTATGTTATAGACATATTGGATGATGGTGATTAGTCACTTGATTAGTGTAATCTACTTGGTTTTGTAATGCTACATTACCTTTAGACTCGGTAGAAACCATAAAAATAAAAAAGGGTTATAAGCATATTTATAATGTATCAAAGAATCAAGTCTACAAATTGTTTGAATTTGATTGATCTAACTGTATACAATATTAAAGGTAAGTTATCGTTCACATAATGGGCTAATAAAAATTGTACAGAGACAGAAGAGAAAATAAGGCCAAGTATTATACGGTTAAAAGCTTAAGTCTTTTATTTAAGGGAAAATGACAAAAATGCCCTTCGAACTTTTTAGGGTTTACTTGTTGAGCCCCTAAAGTTTTTGTCGGGCTTTATGGGTCCCTAAACTAGGATATGACATGCTCCTTTAGTCCCTGTCAACCCGTAATAGCCGGTTCAGTGAGATTTTAGACCAAAAAACTCACATTGTGCCCCTATAAAGCCAAAAAAATAAGTTCGGGATCAATTTGTACCAAAAAAAACTCTCAATTTCTTCTTAAGTCGATTCACACTCAATTCGAAGAAAAAAAGAGATTAAATCTCGTTTTCTTTGTGAACCTCATCAAACCCACGCATCCCTCTCAACATCGCATCCATCAAACCTGCAACTCGGAGGGAGAATGAGAGGTAGCTTGTGCGATTTTGAACAGAGAAAAAGGAAGGAGGGGTCAATTCCTTGAAGAGCTGAAATCAAATGAAAGAAACGAGTGGAAGGGGGTTGTGATCAAGAATCGATTAGAATGGGAAGCGGGTTGTGATCTTCGGTGAGTGTGTGTGACGATCGAGGGTGAAGACGGAAAGAAGAG